GGGGGGGTTCTGCTAAATTATTGTTGCCAGCAGATGCACCTCCTTTTTGTTTTGCCCAATTATGTGGCCTGACATAGGCACAAACCTGAAAGGCTGGAAAGTGGGAACTAGTCACACTCGAGCAGCTCTGCTGTTGCAAATTAAAAGTGTGTTGTGGTCAGGAAATGAAAGCTACAATGTCTCTTTTGAACAAGTCGTTTATCAAGAGAAACATCTATCAAGCAGCGACTTGTCACATTGATCCTCTAAAAGTTAGGTCCGAAGTGGAAACGGCTTTGATGTTTTTTGATCCTATATTTATAAAACTGAAAACTGCAGGGAGTGAGACTGATGTAGATTTAAAAATCACTTCTCCCTGGGTGTGACACAGTCACCAAGATCCTTTTTATTGGTGTGCCACAGAGCTGATGAGCAGAGATGCACCCGATGTTCTTCCCATTTGTTTTTCACAGTGAAACTTTTGAATCTTTAAAAAGCGTGAATGCAGATGCATGTGTGACATTCAGTGTTGAAGATCCTGTCTGTAGTCCCTGCATTTAGCACCAGGGATGTCTTCTGCTCAGTTGTGCATCTGTTGCTTTCAAACCTGAGACTTTTCTTCTTGTTGCTTTAGTGTAGAGGTATTTCTAGGATTTCGGGAAAAGGCAGATCCCACATTTTTGCCTCATTTGAATTTTTCTCTCTCATCTGTATTTATCCTTCTATTCCCACTTCTTACAGAGTACAGTTTCTCCTGCTGCCAAAATGATGTTTATGTCAAATAAAATGACACTTGGAAACCCCTTGCATAGTTTACAACATATTAGTCGTCTTGACTTCATCCCCTTTTCTGCTCTTCTGTTGAGGCTTTTTTTGTGGGGGGGATTGTTTTGTTTTCGTGGGTTTTTTTTGTTTTTGGCAAGTGAACTATAACCACTGTGTTTCAGATTGAAGCCTCCATAACTGAATAGTCAAGGAAAAAATAACAGTATTAGTTGTTGTTTATACCTGCCCAGTTTGTTTTCAGTCTCTGAATTTTATATCAGCTAACTTTTTTTCCAATTTTTTTCTCCCTCGGTTTCATTATGCATGAGGTTGTACTATGATTATGAAGGCAGTCCTTATATATATTGAAAAGGAAGACTGAGAGGAGATCCTTATTTTTGACTAAATGAAATCAGGCACAAGCAAAATCTTCCTTAAACAGTATACTTGGATCCCCCCCCCC